TATCTTGGACGTGCTCTGTCAGTTTTCATTCAAATTTGGCACATACATGTTACTTTATACATGTTAGGATGCATGTCCATGACAATTTGTTTCAAAATCTGGTCAAGGATGGCCGATTGACAGCCATCTGACTTTTTGGCCTTACTACTTTATTTCCACAATTTATGTACCATTTTCATTTGTATTTGGCACATACATCATACATTTCAGTGTGTTTCATAATCAGATCAAAGATGGCCGAATAACCGCTGTTTTTATTTTTGGCCATATTACTACTACACGGAACACATGTTTTGATGTAAATAAACAATCTGTTGTATACCCCACTTGGAACTCAAGTTTCAAGGACACGCTTGCGACAACCCCTCTGCTTTAATATGACGAGCGCAAACAGAACTTTCAAAAATTTAACGGGGACTGTGTCATTTTCAATGACTTGTTTAAACCAGTTAATAACCTTAGTATTTCATTTCAGGAGGATGAATATGAAGCTCGTGTTGGTGCCAAGTTTCCCATCAAATGGACTGCACCAGAAGCTGCCAACTATAATAGGTTTACTATTAAATCTGATGTCTGGTCATTTGCTATCCTACTTACTGAAATAATTACATATGGTAGAGTTCCTTATCCAGGTGAGTTAATGCTACAGCCTTTGATCAGTATAGTTTATTATATTGTAACTATTTCATGGTTGATGGTAAATGCCCCTCTGTCAAGGCTGTGGACTTCTGATCACAATATGGTTCATTTACATTACACATGACTGAAAAAGTAATAATATTAATTGTATATTTGCTCTGGCAGTAGCTCACATAAATGACAAAGGTTTATCCATGGTAAATTAACACTCATTAATATGGATCCGCTAAATTAAATACACTTGAACCTGTGAAATGATGCTATAACTCCTTCACAGGAAATTTATGGATTTACAACCCAGTATATATATATATATATATCCAAAGTAAATTGTATTTTAATGATCCAGTATACAATGTATAAAAAAAATGATGTTTATGTTCATATTAGAGATGTGCTTCAAATGAAGCAAGTACTGCAGTGTGAAAATAATAATCTATGTCTGCATGAACTTGACATTACATATGTTTGTTTTGTTTAGGTATGACCAATGCTGAAGTTTTACATCAAGTAGACCACGGATACCGCATGCCATGTCCGCCGGGTTGTCCAGAGGCTCTGTATCAGATCATGTTGGAATGTTGGAAAAAAGAAGAAATGGAAAGACCAACGTTTGAAACACTTCAGTGGAAACTGGAAGATTTCTTTACTTTAGAACGCCAGGACTATCATGATGCAGGGGTTGTCAGCTAATCCCCCTGTACGATAATTGTGTGGTCGACTTGTATATTACACAAGCTGGGATTCGGCAATACCATTTGAGTTTGTGGGGTTGTTGATTACCCCCTCCAGACTTTCAATTCAACACATAGCATCGTTTGTACGCCAAAATAACATACTCAATAACATACTTTGCATAATACTTTGTATATTTTTTATTTTGTGATGTCACTGTGAAAGTAGCAGAGTTTTGCCTCTAGGTGGCGCTATTGCAATTCAAAACTTTCCATGGAGAAATCAGAGAAAGTTGTAATCGAAGTCAGTCTCCTAAACTGATTTCTGTAGAATGCTCAATTTTTTCTTGCATTTTTTGCGCAGTAGAAGGTAAAGTAAAACCACCTTTCATTAAATCAAGTTTCATCTGCTCAATGGAATGTGGTTATTGACAATGAAGTGCAGGTGCGAGACTACACATATTTTTATGGCAATATTACCAGGAACAACTACATGTATAATGACATTGTACCTTATCGTTTTATCTCATGATCTGACCAACTCTGATTTATTATCTCTGACAAAAAATGATAAAACTCATACCGGTAAACCGTTCAACTCCTGGTTTGAAAACAAACAAATATTTTTTCCTGTTTTATTATTCTGTTTTTGACTGACTGGTTACTTTGCTCTAGATCATAAGGGAAACATGAAAAAAAAAGTATGGTCAGCCTTTAACAAATTAATTTGAGTGAAGATTGGCAGCTAGTGTAGATCTATGGCCAGTGTGTGTAGTTCACATCTGTCTACTTGATTCCTGTATGTCCTTGGACTTTCTTTTATTTCACCATTCAGTGAGTTGGTGTTCCTGGACAGCAGCAGCAGCACTGGGTAGTTTTCGCTCATTCCAGCCAGTATATATATCTGCAAACTTTATAGGTATACTACATGTGGCCAAATTTATTGTCCACACTTAGTAACAAAATGGTTTTACTGTATTTACTTCATTAGAAGCGCATACACTTAAGTCATATTCTAATGATTCAGTATACAATTTTTGATTCAAGCTCACGTTTGTTAAAGATGTCTTTCTAATAGAGAAAATATGGTAACTGTGATGACAATGACAGCTTTATCAATACAGTTAATATGATCAGCGTTTCCTTTCCGCTAATTTGCCACTGAGAAACTTTGCCAGGAAAATTAAATATAATATATATAATTTAGTGTAAAATCATGCTGATAATGAAATATTACTGCACAGGTTGGCGACGTTACTGAGTAAGTTGCACTCAAGTCAGGCTAAGAAGGAACACAGGAACCAAGATTTTAAAATTTACTGTAGATAAATGGAAATGCAATTACTATTTTTAATGAAATCAGAAATTTTGCAATTGTGTTTTAAATTATTTACTTTAATATCTGCTTCAAACCACTATTTTTTGTTGACAGTTGTAATCGTATGTTCCAGAGTTGTCATAATTACATGTAAACCATTAAGTGTTATCACAGAGTTTTGGCTTTGCATTATATTTCAAGGTACGCATAAGAATATTGAAAACACATGTCTGAATATTTACTTCTAGTCTGCAACTGCAAAAAGTTGCTTGTCAGAATGATGCACACAAAACTGTGGAATGAATGAATTGTCTTTATATTAGCGTCAGTTGCAATGACTTTAATGATGAAATTTAATATTAACTTTTAAATGTCAGTGTTTGTGATTTTTAAGGTGTGTAGGTAAAATGCAATGTAAAAACGTCCTTAAATGTAGGAAAAAAAGTCAAATTTGATAAAGGTCTATTGTGATGTTTATGTATACTTCACTGTGAGAAAAATCTGTTATTCTTAAAAGCCAAGAGCAGGATTTGTTATTATAATGCTCACAGTACTCGGAGGTGGTTTTATTCAAAAATTTCTGTGCCATTTACAAAGATGTATTATTTTTGGAAACCCCTTAATACAACTTTATAATATACTGATTTAGTTTGTTTTAGAGAAATATGAACTTTATCTAATTTCAAGCCTGAAGTAGAGCTGGGGTAACCGCTTTCATAATTTTTTTGGTTAGACAGTAGATGTCAGCACCTGTCAAAACAGTGTTTTGATTTTCTGTGGCCGCGAATTTGTTTTGTATACCCAACCAGTATTATTGTCAGCTAATTGGTTGACAGTACAACTGTGTTGCAAGCTACTTCTGATAATGATCTGATGGCTTTTCTTTAAAGTAACATTGCTTGTACCACAGCTGTATTGTCAGCGGATTAGTGATAATATTGAAGGTTTACGAAACATCAGTCACAGTACTGTAAACTGACTAATTTTCACTGGGTTTAAATTTCGCTGATTTACCATTTCAGGCATATTCAGTGGGTTTTAAATTCACGGTTTTATAATTTAGATAATGTGTTCTATGCTAAATTTTACATATTCACTGGGTTTTAATTTAGTTTCCAGTCAGCGAAATAAGCAAAATTAAAACCCAGAGAATAATTAACTTTTTTACAGCAATATATTTCCTGTATGAAAACTATTACTGATAATGTAGAGGCATGACATATTTAAAAACAGTCACATTTTTTAAATGGATGACACAGGTGTTCATGGGTACATCTTTTGTTTAAATTTACACATGTGCGGTGATTACTGCCCCTTTAAGTCTTAGTTCATTGCAGTCGTGTGGGTTTGAATTTTGTGTAAATAAAGCACTTGTCCGGCCCATATGCATACATGTTGCTATGCATAGTTTTCAGCCCACATCAAACACACATAGTCGCTATGTCCAGCACTTATAAAAAATGTGATCTCCATCTGGTATAGCTACCATATTGTTTAGGCTGTCAATATCACCATTGCACAATCGAATGTTTTCTCACTATCTACATTCTGTTTTCTGCTATAGTCGCGTTTCACACAACGCTTTTTTATTTGCCAAATGATATAGAAAGACTACCGACTTCCTTGCAGTACGTTTCACTTAAGGTTGCTCATATCGAAAGCACATTTTCTGTTTAAAAATTTACTAGTGGCCTGCAACAGCAAAATTTTGAGTTTTTGAACGAGTTACTGACACTCTTTTGTCGATGATGCACATGGAATTCTCCTAAACACTAATCCATGGGCATGCAAGATGACAAATATGACACATTTCAATGTCGCACCTGGTGTCTACGATTTCCCAGACTCGCTAAAATTAATCCTGTGAAATTGATGCGGTTACAGAATTGAATTAATTCACAAGTTGTTAAAAAACAAAACAAATTATGTATGTTAATTACTTGTAAACACTTGTAAACACTTGTGGAACATTGGCTGGGAGTGTTTAATATAAAAAGTTTCTACATTTGGGGGAGGGGGTGTATATAATATTTCAATGAAAACTAACTATATATCCTAACCATTATAGATACAAATTGGTGAAAAAGCTTGCTTTTAATACTTCATTTAATCTAGACTAGAATTTAGTACTTCATAATTCAGTATCTCAGATCATGCCACATTTTACGTTGATCATGCTTGCTTCTAGCACTGTATAATATAAAGATCATTTTCTTGTACGAGACTTTTTTGGGAGAATGGGGGGGGGGGTAAATGTATAGCAATCATGTTTCTATCGGTCTGTTTTCATACAGTACATGTAGATTTACTGTGCCAATTTGATTGATTTATAATCGTGCGATATTTCTATTTTTGCCACATTTTTCTATTGATAGTATTAATTGCAATGAGTGTTTTACTTTCAATATGTGAATTACAAAACAGTTACATATTAGTCCCATTGTTTGTGCCATGTATTTTTTTTATATATAAAAAAAGCGAAATTAATAAAAACAAATATTTGACCTTAGCTTGAGTTTGATTAATTAAATACTCTGAATACAGTAATCCAGAGTAAGGCTTACACACACACACAAAAAAAGTTTCATGCCAAACATTTTTTTTTTTAATGGGCCAATGAGAATTTTATTTGCAACATGCAGTGGTAAAAATGAAAGTAATAACAGATTTTTTTGGTGGTAAGCATGCAATATTTTTGTTTAGGCCAAAGGCCATTCCAGTGCAAATATAGGTAAGTGGGGGTAGGGTGTGTACCAAACCTTTTGATAACTTGGATTTGGCACGTCTGTGTATCAAGAAAACCCTGTGAAAATGCAGACCTGTTATGGATGTTTGGAGATAAATGTATATTAGTGAACAGCAGGAGTGCACCCTTGAATCCATTGATCAAAAGTACATCGACTCTAGTTGAACACTGAAGTCTGCATGCTGATAGTCCTATCAATTTCTTATTATACTCTTAAACGCATTTACTCAACTTTGTTGCCCTCCATTTTATGTTAGAAAGAATGATGCTTAGTAACAAATATAATCTGAAAGGTTTTAAGACGAACAAGACACTATACAAATCAAAAAAAAGTTTAGAAAACACCCAAAATTTAAATTTATCATTTCAAATAAGAAGCTTGGTGAATATATTGGTCTGCCGTTCACAGGTTTGTAACTAATGTGTGTGGTTTTCTCAAGAACATCTGCATGCCAAATTTCCTTAAAATGAGAATTAATCGGGTCTTTGTTCCAAGGAAATTATATACCAAGTCTCATTGAAATGCAGTAATGAGATATAAGCAGAAAATTGGTTAATTATGCAAATTAGTTTTTAATATGCATGTATGCATCAAGTTTCATTGAAATCTGTTGAGTAGTTGAAAGGACTTCAAACAGGCTAGTAATATGCAAATTGGGTCATTAATTGCAACCAATAACTAAATATGTCTGTGCATTATCCCAATGCATCTGTACAAAGTTTCATTGAAATATTTTAACTGTTATTGCGAAACCAGTGAAATGGCTGAAAATTGGCTCATTAAGATGCAAATGAGATCATTAATATTCATGAATATCAACGAAAAACTAACCAGTTCTGCCCAGTATTCTTAGTTATCTATGTACCAAGTTTCATCAAAATCCGAACAGAGGTTCTTGAGATACTGAAGGAACAGACATACATAAATACATGTATATACACATACGTACAGACAGGGTAACCACAAAGACCCCCATTTTGCGTTTCAAACATGGGAGTCAAAAACTTTATATTGGAAAGTAAACCCCCCAAAAATAGCCATAAACCAAAATAATTAATATGGAAATTAAAAGAAAAAACATTGGAGCTTATACCTACATCAGGTTTTATTCAAAATGTTACAAATATAGAATTAAGCGTATAGACAAAATCTGCATAGAAAAGCTGTATTTTTTAAATCTGTAACCTCTTGACTGCTCCACAATGATTACACAAAGTGAACTGCACTCAAGGACTTTCCACTAGTGGATTTAGAAGCATTTGACCTAAAGTCAGATTTGTTTTGCTTTTCACTAATCTAGCATGTTTTCACCACAAATTCTGAACTTTTGATCAAATGGGAAATTATAAAAAAAAATGGTCTTGATACAAATTTAAATACTGGTAGTGGTAGTATGGTTTTGGTGAGTCTGCCCTCTATAGATGAATAGAAAAACACTACCTTTTTTATCAAATTGAATTCAACAACCAGAACCAAACTTACTTTAGTTAGTGCAACAATATTTACCAACAAATTTGTTTATTTTCACTGATAAAATAATCATGACTCACAGTTTCAAGAGAATCAGTCTACATACATGTGGACAGCCAGATGGCCAACAAACAGGTGTAAGTGGAGGGGGGAAGGGGGGTAGCTGGTACAGTTTTACGGGAAATAAAAAGGGCTTTTTACAATTTACAAGGAAAAAAAGACGTTTTTACAGTTTACAGTGAAAATTGAATTCTGCAGTGAATTGTGTCATCTAGTCGTTTTACAGTTTCGAAAATGTAATTTTCCTGGATTATTTCTTTACGACTTTTTTAATTTTGATGAAAATTCTTGTACATACCGAGAAAAATGAAACATTTTTACAGTGTACGAACAAATATTTGATTGATTACGTTTCAATTTACGTTGTACGAACAAAAAAATATTGCAATTACGATGAACGAAAATAACCCTTGCCCCCCTCTAAGTACGCTAATAGTTTGTGCTGTAAGTATAAGACCATGCCTGACAGCAATTTTCAAGGGAATTGTCTTGTAAGCTTTCAAACTATGACTTTGTTCATACATATGGACAAATGCTCGCAACCACTACGTACCATAAGTGGACAAGATTTAATATTTACATGTTGCATTTAACCTTTTCTTAACTAGCCTTTCTCTCCCAAATTCGACTGCAACTTTCATTTTTCACTCAAACAATTTGCCTATTTTTGTCCCAATATTTTAAAGTAAAGAGCATACTATAAATGGAACTATTTTGTGAATTTGTGATGAAAAGAGCCTTTTCAAATTTAGATTTGTCATGAGAGCCAGGAAGTTAATGAAAAGCAAACTGTTTAGTCAAACCTAAGCAGTCAGCCGATTCCGGAAAGATTTTGCACGGTTGCTGCCCAAAGACTCTCATAAAAGGCAAGGTTACAAAAGTTTTGCTATGTTTGTTGACAGGTGCAAGTATTCTCAGCTCATTTATCAGACATACCGGTACTATTTAAGAAAAATAAGTTGATATTATCTCATTCATTCATTCACTCAACATTCATTAAAGTTGATTTTATTATTCAATATTCTATCAAAAAATACATCACCTGAAAAAAAAGGCACCATGATTTATAACACATCAGAAAAGGAACCAGTTTTGCATTATAATAGTAATGTAATTTATTGTGAGTCAAATTTCACCTGTAAACAATTTATTTTAGTTTCATTTAGAATTTGAACTTGAACACCCACAAATTACCAGGAGGCGAGACTTAGGGGTCATGAATAAAGTACCAGGATGTGTGACCTTTTAAGGTCATGAATAAAGTATCAGGATATGTGACATT